GTCACATTAATTTTATGTAAAGGGATAGTCATCCTATTACTGGTTTTTTTCATCATTTTGTTTTGGCAAACAAAATGAAAAGACTATGGACAATGCGAAGAATGATGATGACTCATCATCAACAGCAGCAGTCGGTATATACAATACCGATAGAATATTCACAAGAGCCAGTTAGACAATTGATGGCAAATGAACAAATGAGACCAAAACAAATGGCCACCCAATCGATTCGGAAGCAGCTCCCAATGCAAGAAATGCGATATATGTGCAATGACAACACAAGAGTTGATGATTAATCAAACCGCACGAGACAGATGCATGATAATATAAATAATTCTTCTGACGAAAAATCGAACCATACATGAACATTCCATCACGTCGGGTACACACTCATCATTAAATAGTTCAGTTTTTGTTTTTCATCGTTTTTGCTTTTGTTATCTATGACACAGCATAACATCCATATTTGCTTTATAGTATATAAAGCCCGGTCTTTTAACTACTGTATTGTTAATGTACTGACGAAGAATACGAAATCAGTCTACATTAATAAATCATATACTATTTTCATTTCGTACTGGTTGACACTACGCATTTGATCTTTGGTTGATAAGACAAACTAGCTGTATAAAAGATATACCTTCTAGTATATAATTTTTAATACTTATTTTTATTAGAGTATACAGAAGCATTAGAGAATTAGGTGCTTTTGCCATGCTGAACCATATTTGATGAAAATAAGGTGGTATGTGCAGACTTTCTCGATGAATCAGATAACGGGTTTCACCTTACTTTCATCAAATTTGTTTCAGCGCGGCAAAAGCACCTAATTCGCTAATGGTCTGCAAAGTCCATTGGGCTATTTACTTAATCTATTGGACTCGGAATGGACTAGGCTCAAAAATTTGAGTTCATAAGGAGCTCTGATGTGTACTATAAATCACATTCGAGAAATAGAATTTGTTTTCAATCACATGTGAATTATTATTTTCTATTTCCTATATAGTCATGAACAGACAGTAGAACATTTATTCGAATAAATATTTACACTTTTAATTAAAAAAAATAACGTCTTTTAAAAACAGTTGTCATTAATCCATTCCATTTTATAGTGAAAATATAAACTATTGGATTTGCAATTATCGACAATTTGGCTACTAATGCACATGCGGCTAAGATTATCGGATATTTTTTTACTAATAAAATGCCAAATATTTGAAACAATGCTACAGTCGCATATGGTGCCCAACATAGAACATACTGAGTAACAAAAAATATTGTTGCTATTGCAAAACGTCTATCAATTTTTAAACGTTTTAATTTTTGAGCATGACAAATCAATAATTTATCGTTCAAGTATTTTCTGACATCTTTTCCATCATGCATATAATATACAAATTTAAGAGGTGAATGTTTATTGTGCATTATGGTAGAACGATCTAAAAGGTGAGTACGAATATATGCGTGTTTTTCATTATTAGAAATTATTCTCTTATTTGTTTGATATGATTGTTTGCGATTTGATGATGTCAACGATGATAGACGTATGGATTCCCACTGCTTTTTTATGTTTAATTTAGTCGATATTAACTGACATATTGTACGATATAAACGAACATTCATTAAAAGTAAAAGTGTTAAGGGAATAAAGTAAACGAATAGAAATATAAACAGAAGATACAATTTACTTGATGATGCATCGTTCCATTCTAGACCACAATGAAAACCAAGACCTTCAGCGACAAAATTATTTATACCAAATAATGGTGGTATGGCAAATAGAAGCGCCAATACCCAACAACATAAAACAGCTAGAAAATTGCGTCTATGTAATAACATTTTGGTAATTTTTGGATGAAAAACCGTTGTATATCGAATAATGGATAACATAAATAGCATGTACATGTAAGCACAACCGGTAAAATAAATTAAGAAACCTTCTAATTTACAATAGATTGGAAAACAAAATCGTCGACACCATAAACATTGAATGATAATGGGTGGTATTATAATAAAAGTAATTCCTAATGAACCAGCAAACATTGCCACTATGAATGGATAATAATTACAATGTAAATATTTCTGATTCGATGACCAATACAAAAAACGAATATCAATTATTGCACAAATTATTGATACAAGTAATAAAATAATTCCAATTATGCGACTTGCTATACAACTATAACGATCGGTGCTATCAGTCGAATTTATACATACTAATATTACAGATGGAATTGAAATATTGTTAAGAGCATCTAAATAAATATCGTATTAGAAATGATAAAAGTACTTAGTACTTATTATATTAAAAAAATAAATGAATAAATTTAGTTCAAACAGCGAATCTTCTGAATTATTGAATAATTGCCTATTGTATATTGCATTATGTATGACACATGACTGAAGCAACGGCTAAAAATTGGTTTTTCTCGAAAATCTAAAGGACACTGCCGGATAAGTAGCTATATGTGCCACCCTATATTTTCATATTCTGAAGATATGGTCGCATAGAACTGACTGGCAAAATATGCTATCAGAAATGTTCAAGACCACTTAGAAAAAAATTACGGGCCGTTAAACGGGCTTTAAAAGTACGGATTTCCTTTTTTTCTATTTTGCCTTGTTACCGAGAAAATTAATTTTTTTCTAAACTAGAGCGAAAGAGTCGTAATTCTGCCGATACTTCTCTGTTTTCTGCATCAAACTCATCTTTGATGCAATAAAAATATCACATTCGGAATCAGCGTTGAAAACTGAGTCGAATGATATGCTTTTTGTGTCCTATCTGACTACTTTAATTTTTCTCGAATTTTCATGTCAAAAATTACTAAGATTTTCACTAAAAAGTGAAAACTAACGAAAAATGTCGAAACACACATCATTCGACTCAGTTTTCAACGCTGATTCTGAATATATTTTTATTGCATGAAAGGTGAGCTCTAATGCAGAAAATAGAGAAGTACCGACAGAATTACGAGTTTTTCGGTCCTGGTTTAGAAACAATTCATTTTCTTGGTAACAAAGAAAAATGGAAAAAAAGCGATCCGTACTTTTAAAGCCCGTTTAATTGTAATTCTAATAAAGTAAAATCGGCTACTAATAAAGTAATATCCGGCTTCACCTCTTCACAAAGTAGCCAAGGTTGATTAAATCATTCGGATGATGTAAAGATGTACTGTTGGACTAATTAGTATGACCAAAATATATTATTCTGATGCAGTTTCCTTCGCTGGTCACGAATCTGACATCAGATTTCAAAAATTATGAGAAATGAGTGAAATATGAGTGACTTTCGGAAATCGGCTAGCTATGTCTACCTATTAAAATGTCGGTCGCAAAATGTGGTCTTGGGGCAGATTTTTTTTTCGAATAATCTCATCAATCGATAGTCCATATTCATGAGATAATTCGGACAAATTTAAGGAAATGTGTGTTTTCTCGTAATGGAGAAAATCGTCACTTTATGTAAATGATCGTCGGCCCACAACGGACGTACTCATAAAAGGGATGAATTTTTCTCTATGAAGAGCTGATACGTTGTTCCACCACATGGTTTTAGTTTATGTAGAAATGTTGTCTGATTTTATTAAAACCAATCCTGACCCTACAGACCTTTTAGTTATTGAGAAAAAATGATTTTACTGAAGAGATTGGATGACTGATGGTGTCACTCATAAATGGCTTGTAATTTTTTTCTAAGTGCTCTTGAACATCTCTGGAAGCATATTCGTGTCCGCCAGAGTTAGTTCTATCTGGCCATATCTTCAGAATACGAAAACATGGCACATATAGCTACTTATCCGATGGTGTCCTTTAATTGGAATCTTTAAAATTGAAACTTTATTCAAAGGTCAAATTCATCTTCGTCGCCACAACCCACGAGGGACCTTTCCAACTGTCTAATCGCTTTCTAGTCGAACCTAGTTGGTTCTAGGTTGTCTACCGCGCTGATTCTGAATATCCATATGAGACGGGTAGCTGGGCCTTCCTAGAGCTGTTTCTAGAAAACCAGTTTTCCAGAAACCTCGAAAAGTCCCTAAAACTTTCTCTTAATAAATCATGATTGTAGTCCATGAAATTATGACCAGAATGAGACACCTCACACTTCTACATGACCTTTATTTGCAAAGTTATACAATTTACACGAAAAGCCCTAAATTAATTTCTTATTGCTGTAGCTTTGAGCTGACAATGAACATTTAGAGCTTCTCTTGTAAAGTCTATAACTTTACAAATAAAGGTCGTGTAGAGATGGAAGGTGTCTCCTTTTGGTCAGGATTTCGTGGGCTACAATCATGATTTATAAAGAGACAGTTTTAGGGACTTTTCTAGATTTCTGGAAAACTGATTTTTCAGAAACAGCTCTAGGAAGGTCTAACTGCCCTTCTCATATGGATATTCGGAATCCGGTGGTCGATAACCTATAACCCACTAGATTTCGACTAGAAAGTGCTTAGACAGTTGGAAAAAGTCCCTAATCAGTCATCTGAGGCAATCAGATTTTTGAGAAGTCCACATGATGCCTCGAGTAGTCCATCCGGAAAGTGAGACCTCGAATCCTCGAAATGAACATGCGAGAGACACGGAACCTTATTTTTAGTTCCTAGAAGAGCTTCAGGAATTCAGCGCTAGGGTTTACAGAATAGTTATGTCGAGGGGACGAACAACTTCCAAGCTTTCAGGGTATTCGTTCTGTGAATTCTTTTGTCGACTACTCGAAGTTTTTCGAGAAGCTAAAAATAAGGTTCCACGTCACTTGCACTTTAATTCCGCGGATTCGAGGTCTAGCATACCTGGAAGTATTAGAAACTGCTGAAATTTTCTTGCATAGGGAAGATACGCCACCGAAATTCTACAATAGTTCGGCGGAGCGTCCCGTGAGGTTTTCAGTTTTATTTTCCTGTTATCCCGTTAATACTTAACTTTTCGCAGGGATTCTTTTATCCCTTTTCCATTTGTCATGTACAGCATACGCTCAAAGCTGCGCGTCAAGACATTTTGTTGCTCCTGAGAAAAATGCTTTACGAGATTTTTTCAGTTCACAATGTGCCGTGAGGTTAAACCCTCATGCCCCCATGAAAAATACACTAAGTTTAACTTTATCGTAAAGCATTTGATAAAGCTTGACGATACAAATCTGGTCATGTACATCTAGTAGTCTTATCACGTAGTAGCTAATTTTTTTTAAAGCTGAAGAATCTTGGGCGATACATTTTCTCAGACATATACATAAAAGAAGCTTTCGCTGGCAATAAACTGTTGAGTCGCACATCTTAAAAAGGCCTCATCGAGATCTATCGGTTGATGTATTAAAACAAAATTTTCAAGGTTATTTTATGTTGTCTTTATCGCAATTGGCTCGGGTATTTTTATACCTTTCGTCGTGAAAATCCGCTTACTGAGAAAAATAACAGGAGCAGTCACAAAAATTAGTTTCTTATCATCACTTGAACTATCAGAATTTACTGATATAGTCAAAGAAAGTCCAGAAGACAATTTATTTTTTACGGTTTCTTCCACAGAAATAGTACAATGGCAGCACAAAGCGCATGACAGAAGAATAAAAATTTATTTTTGCATAATAACAAACTATTCATACACACCATGGAATACGAACGTCGTTTTTTTCTGCACATCTTCTCTATAAAGTGTTGAATTATTGAACAGATTGTAGAAACTGTTTTTGTTTTTAAATAATGGCATAGTTTTTATGATTAAGATAAATGGTGTAATTTCTTTAATTCTACTAAGGAGCTTCTTCTGGATGGAGTAACAGAATATGTTAATTTTATTGTACAAAATTCTGTAACGTTCAATACGACATTCTTAATTAATTCGTCTCTTCTATGTTATTCGTGGATTTGTAATAAAATAAAAAATAAAAATAGAACTTAATTTCTATTTTCTGTATACAAATAACATTTCGAATAGAAAAAAAGATTTATTTCTATTATAATCACCATTGCGTGATTCGCTTTAATAGACTGAACGAACTATTTGCCATGTTGAAATAATCATATAAAATGAGAAGAACATCATTTTCTTATAATTTGAACAGTGTAGTCGTAATACGCGTAAAAATACTTTTTCTAAGTTGCATGTGAACAAAGAGTAGTAGAACTGAATGAATTTTGATGGTTTTAACACATCTCAATGCTTAATTTAGGAGTCTCGTAGGAAAATAAGTAAAAATGTATGTATAGTGTATACTTTACGGTATTATGTTACATCAATCATGAGTTTAAAAAGCCGCTTTAGTTACACGCATGTCTCTTATAAACTAAAATACGTTTTATCGTCAAAAAAATAAGTGTCACGATATGTTTAGCTATGCTATGACACTTTCCTCAAAAGTAGTTAAGTGAGAGATTCTGCCATGTAAAATGTTCCTAACATAATAAGAATGAAAAGTCTTCATTTTTAGCTAAATATTCGAGTCAACTGCTACCAAGAATGACATGTAATAATCGTTTATTCTCATAATCGGTACAATCATAGAACACAGGCAAAATGTATTGCTTGGTAAAGTGTAAATCATGTATACATTTTATAATAGAAGGAGGCCTAAGTAATAATGTAATTTCTGGCGTCACAATACGTTCTTCTAAACCCAAAATACTCACTCTTGTAGTCGTGATCTCTTCTTTACTTTAAAATAGAATTTATCAAAAATAAATGTTTCTACGTTGAGATATTTAGTTTGGTGGTGAGTAAATTAAAAAAAAGGATGAGAGTTCGTTAGTATTGCAACGTTATCTCAACAGGCAGCCGTTTCGAACAAAATCCAGTTACATCTTACTAGCATATGGTAAAAAGGAATACAGAAACGGAAAGAAAATATTGTCATTTTTTTTTTTGCACTTTATCTTTCTATTTATTTAATAGTGTTTTTGTCAGTTATTCGTTCCAGTTAGTTTGCATAAAGAATTTCTTCCCTTTTTTAATTAACCCAGATTGAAAATAAAAATTTTGCTAACAATCTGTCACTACTAACTGGGTTCACTCTTTGCCTGTCCTTACTTCCCACCATTTCTTTTACAGGGTTTTACAGGGCAGCAAATTCTCTATATTTTGAGCCTACAACGAAGTCTTCGAGCTGTAGTTAAGTGGGCCCAAGAAAAAAGTATAACTTCTATATCGTCAGTTCAATATCGAACGTTAATTTGAAGAGATTATTTTATCAAGTGCGAAGACTGAAATGAAAAACTTTGTCATAATTGTATAAAATAACCAGATAGTATCTGTTTCACATACTTCTCTCTCAAATAGATTTATTAGTATTCTTTACAGAAAGCCCAACGTTCTCAGAATGTCTCTTAAACATTACCTCATAATTCTTCGGACAGCTTATACATAATGAAAAACATAATTCATTGCAACGTTGGTATGTTCATAAAT